AGAAAGGTAAGAAAGAGTATAATTTTTAGCTGACTGTTTATTTGAGATCTATCGATGGCTACTTATGTCTAGTTTTTATGTTAATTTTCAACATTTGATTTTTTAAAACGCCTACTTATTTTCGAGAGACAAAATGCAGAACACTTTACCTATGCAAAAAGTTCATGAAGAAGGGCGCACAGCTTTTAGTACCTTACGCCCGCCGCACACGAGAGCTATCAGCCAACGACCTTTTTAGCTCAACTAATATTTCTCGTGTGCGGCGGCTTGAGATGTTACAGCTGCAACGACGCATGCATCTGTTATCCAATTCACGGCACGCTGAAGATGTAAAACGACACCCTTCATTTTCTTTCACACGAACGCTAGCTGCAGTACCAGACGATCAAAGAAAGACAAGATTGCTAAGAAACCTAAAACATGTTTAGGCTATTTTTGCGATCGAACTTACATATGAACTCAAACTCGCGAAAATAAAATAAACATGATGATTCATCACTGACATCCGTGAATTTGCTCGTCTAGATAAACACGTCTTGTCAAAATTGGTAGCAGAGAAAGAGAGCTACAGCACAAAAGATGTTAAAGAAGGAAACGAAACTGTCTTTGATCACGAAAATTTGAGCTGTTTCAAGTCGACAGAGCCCCACGTTGTTAAAATGGTGCGTAGGGCAAACTTGACTTCCCCTTCAGAAGAATTACATAATGGCTAAAAATATTGCAGATCAAAGTGTACTATAAACTAAGCAGCCTCAATTAAAATAATTAGAAAATACTAGCTAGTAATATTATATATATATATATATATATATATATATATATATATATATATATATATATATATAAATATATATATATATATATATATATATATATATATATATATATATATATATATATATGTGCAAAACTAAAAATTAGACATACTTAATATGTGCACTGTTGTATTTATATTCATTGTGAACATGTGCACCGCCTACTAGTTTTCATTTACCAAAAATAGTTGATGCACAAGGCCGCACGCACAGCGTTATTTGCATGATCGAGTACCTTGAAGATATAAAACGACGCTTTATTCAAACCTTCTTTCCATCCACAAAAATAAAACACTTTACCCAAAATAGTAGATGACCAAAGGCGTACAGCTTTTTCTGATTTGCGCGATCGAGTACGTACATGTATTTGAAGTTACAGCTGAAACGACGCATGCGTCCTTACGCCAACTCACATGCAGCACGCTGAAGATATAAAACAACGCTTTAATTCTCATTCTTTTCAATTTCAATCATAGGCTGCTGCTGTTGCTATACCAAGGGAAGAAAAGCAAGATCGTTAAAGAACCGTAAGAGATGTTGAAGGTATTTAAACTCAACATGCCCTTTTCATCAGCAATAAGGCTGAATTACCAAGTATAATGTATCCTAAATCCTAATTGTTATTTTTTAATTGATATCCTGCATAAAGAACTAGCATGTTAGAGAACGGTGAAAAGGGATCGGTGCGAGATTCGGCGTGTTCACAAAAGCAAACTGGGTAAATTCGAGCATGGTTCTAAAAATTATCGCTTGATTATTGAATTGTCGTTTACTGTTCATTGTTGTTTCCTTGAGATTAAAAAAAACGGGGACTTTCATAAATCGAAACGGTTGGAAGTTTTCTTTTAAACCTATATAAACTGGACAGTGTTTTAGTTATTTGTATTAGTTCGGCTATGATATACCAAACCGTTTCTACCCTGACTTCTCAAATATAGTTAAATCGATTACTTTTTTGCCACTTGTTGTTTTTAGATCGTTGTTTTCGTTGTTGCACTTGGATGCTTCATATTTACAGATGCAAGAAATATCGACGGATACTTTCGGAATGAAGTAAGCGAAATTGGTACCATAGAAAGGTATAATATTGTTTTCATGTATGTTTTTATAAATAATTAATAAAGCAAAAAAGTACTCGCGGTTAAACAATAAACTTCAGGACCCCGTCCCAACAGTATTAGGTTAGGTCGTTATCAGTACACCCCTCGCTATTTTCAAGCACCGTTGCTTTTCTTCCCCGAAATTACGCTACTTCTCCATTGAATTCAATAAAAGAATTGAAAGAAAGGTACATCCGAATATCTGAATCTAAGTTCATGTAGCAAGATAAGTTATATATGTGCAAAAATAATACTCATAATAATATTTATCATTCACTTTATCGTAATCTCAATTTTTGATTGGTTAATTTACCTGTAGGTAACTTCGTGCAAATAATACTCTGAACTTGCGGATTGGCTTCAATTTTGTAAACAATATAATGGCAACTCGCTTTGCCGAATTTTCGGAAAATGAGTTGTGTTGCTTACTCTAAGAAAAAAACGCGGAAAATACCAAAAAAGAATAAGATAATGAATGATAAAAAAATTATTGAACTCGGTTCTCCTAAAATATCGTGATTTGTTTGTGGTTCGCAGATCAATTATTTGCCTTTGTCCTCGGCATCGACAAGTAATTGGATCTGCTCGCCACCGACAAATCATTATCAGCACTAGTGCACTAATTTGCATGACACAAAAAAAACTGCTCAAAATAGCCATTTTGTTTTGTAATGCAAATCAGTGCACTAGCGCTGGATCCACCCCTGAATTTACCTCAACCTCGTCGAATAATTGATTAACATCTTACAAACGCTTTGGGGTGCCACATTTATAGTAAAACTGAAATTAAGGATTATGATCATATAAGCATAGGATATTTTCTGAAAATTCTGGTCTGGAAATACCGGAAGTCCTGCCTTGCATTCATGTTTCGAACTTTGAGAATATGAGTGTTTTCAAGCGACTTGTCACTAGCTATTTCCAAGCGTATGTTCAGCGGCGTCTCCAGCATCGTTAAGTGAAGGGGGGAGTCCTATTCATATATTCATGTTCACAAACAACAAAAACAACCAATTTGACACGAAATGGATAATGTAAAGCACGAATATTTGAATATGTCCCGCCCCCGCGCCACTCCAACTTTTCGAGCTGGCGACGCCACTGCGTGTATTGTTTAGAAAGCGGTTATAATAACTTGTAACTTCCCATTTTACTGTGCTCTTGGGTATTCAATGTTCTCTCTAATGCAGCATAAATTGTGACATAAATATTTTACAGGTTTACACAAATTTCCGCCACACCTAGCATATGAAATACTAACCGTTTTAAGAACAATTCTTGCAGGGAAGATGGACGACAAAAACGGCAATACCCTTATAAAATCTGCGACTTAAACTGTGGTGCAAGAAACAACTTCAGTAATAAGGTGTTTTGCGATAAAAAGGTCTTGTGCTTATTTTTACTTTTTTTTCCACATATTTTGTCAGTCTGTATGGTTTGTACAGTACATTATTTTGTCAGAATGCATGACCTTTCGTCCTCCGGATGAAACCGTCATAATTAATACCTCGAAAACTTTTTTATAATAGTTATCTTATTGAATATTTATATAGAGTGGGTTCTGCGAGGCCTACTACTACAAAGACTGAGGTTAATAATATCATTCCTGTTGACAATGGAAAATATTTGTGCTGATATGACTGCGATAAATAAACTTTCAACAATGCTTGATATATATGTTTTAGAATAACACTTGTAATATAGTTAGATCATATCGATTTAAAAATATAAATGGCATATTGCTATTGCACTGTTTATTTTCTTTCAAACACCTTTCCAGTAAAAGCTAGCACCAAAAAATGCAAACAACACGCGCCACGTTTCCTGTTAATATTAGACAATTTCCCACCAGTTTATTATTACTCCGGCGTCAGCGACGGAGTTGAAAATTCGCCCCGGTTTTGTTTTGTTTTTGTTTTTGTTTTTTTTATTTTTCGTCGTCGCAAGTGTGTAATGGCGCGAAATATTACTTGTATTTAAAACGTGTATGTGACCGTATTTATCTACGTCCCAGTCTTATCTCCCAAGAGTTGTGGTGCACAGCTTTAGCTAATTTTCCAATGTGCGATTCGATTTCGCTCGCATGATACGGCAATTTCTCCAAGAGGAACAAATAAACCGTTCTTTCCATGCTGTTCGATTAAGTTTAGATAGAATTGGGGTAAGAATATATTTAATACATGTAGATTCCGGTCCTATTTTAATAATATCGCTGCTATTTCGCCGTTTAACAATATGATGTGGTCGTGTATGGGCGCGTTGACACGTCGCGTTGTTTGCACAGGATCGGAGATTTAATATAACTATATAAGCGCAAATTCCAAAGGCAAACTGTAAGACGAAGCGAATGTATCATGCGGTTTATTTACATTTTTAAACAATTGAACTTCTATACTGCGATGTGCTTCTGAATTTCGCGATCGAACATTTAGGTTCGCAAGGCATCTAAATGCGAATATGTATGCGAAACAATACGCGAACTGTATTGTTTATGTTCAGAAGCTCTATATTGAAGACTGGCACGTGCGCCGGAGTTAACGCCAGAACGGCGTCTTGTTTTCTTAAAATTCAGTCTGTTTTGACAAAAGTGCTTGGATAATTTATTACACGAACTAAAGGGAGAGACTTAAAGTGCCTATACCACTCGTGGTGTCTTTACGGATTTGGAAAGAGCGTAAAAAGTTAGTTTATAAAGTATAGATCCTTTTTTGATATAAAACAATAGTTTCCGAGATATCGGGTTTCAAACAGGGCATTTTTGCAAAAAAGGTGTGTTGCTCAGGAGACTGGGACTCAGGAACCGGTCTTTGGTCAAATACTATAAAATCAACTACGTTTTTGCTTGGCGGCTGACAAAAACGCAAATATTTCAGAATAAATTGTTATGTCTGGCTTAGAGTCGTTATCTGGCTCTGACGAGGGCTCTTACAGTTGCCCTGAGTATGAAATTGAGGATGAAACATACGAAACGGCGTCCAAAGACGGATATGAAAGTGAGCTTTCATATGCCGTTGAGGAGGAACTACTAGACGATGAGGATGTTTTAGCATACACTGATGAGCCTTTAGCTGACGATTCGTGGGTGAAGAATATATTCAAAGACAAGAACAGCATGCAAGGGAAATAGAAGAATTAAGTCTTCGTCTAAGCGGAGAAAACCCAGTGAGTTCTTGGTAAGATAATCAAACAATTTTCTATGTTAAAATATTGTGTGGTTGCCATATTGGCATATATATTTTTCAAAAGACAACTGAAGCATACTGACAGTGTATCTTTTTTAGGTGCAATTGTGGAAACTGCAATACTGAAAATTTAGTAGAGGCGAAGGAGTGTCACTGTTGCACTGAAATTCCAAACTGTGCCGCTGCATTGACATTGACTATAGATGATTCTGTTCGTGTTTCTGAGTCATCTGATGATGATGCTACTAACACCCAACAAACGTGTATTACAAATCACCCTGGATTCGATGCAATTTGTCTCAATAGATGGTCTTTGGAACTAGCTGCAGATAATTTTAAAACGCGTACTGGACAAAAATATCGACAAGTTAGTTCAAAGAATAGGTTAGTATCCACTCTATATAAAATTATTAAAATATTATTTTTCTGAGATAATATAATCAACTTGTATCCCAATTAATTTGTATCCCTATAACCCTATTCTCTACTGCAGTACTGCAGCCTTGGTTCTATACAAAGTAAATATATAACCCTATATGACTATATGTGTTTTTAGGTTTCTTCGTGTGGTGGCATATAGACAATTCACACGACTTATTCATGGGCGTTTAAAAGACAAGCGAATCCCTTTGCCGGCTTGTGCTTACAATGCTATCCGCACTACCTTCAAGGAAAAGGAGGATGACTTCAAAGGTTATGAAGATCTGGAGGAAGAGGATTAAATTTGCTGTAAATATATATGTAGGAATTTAATAGCAGATACATTAGCAATGTTTTGTTATAGCACCTCAAACTTGAATAATAATATATTTTACAATTAAACTCTGCCCTTTTACAAAATTATTTATTTTGGTTCTTGGGGCAATCTTTAACATTTTTGTGGCCTTTCATTGGTTGTTTGCATGCTTTGCACTTTGGCTTGTTTCGTGCAGTGCTATCACCAGGATTTGGAATCACAACAGTAGGTACTAAAATGCAAAAACAATAATAATGATGAGTTGATACTGTATGTTTACATGTTAAGGAGTGATGGCATCAGCTGTAGCACAAATCATAAGTGTGTGATAAATCGCATCATGCAAATTTACCTTCAACTTAGCATTGAATATAAGACTACTAGAGCAAGTAAGGTAACTAACCAGGATTTGTTGGTGGCACATTAACAATGGGCATGTTTTCCCTTCTTTTCTTTTTGTCAATAGCCTCAGCACGTGGCTGCATGTCAAGCATTTTGTTCATTGGTGGTGGTGTTAAACCTTTTAATTCTTCAATTGCCTTCTTGAGTTTTTTGTTAGAGATTGCATCAATCATTGTATTGTATATTTCATCAACATAATCTTCAAGAAAGGCAATTATATAATATAATGATTTGCATAATTATTATGGGAGTGCAAAATAGATAGTGTTAATTGCTGTAGTGTTAAAAGTAGAATGTGATATACTGTACATACCAAAGTTTTGCTTCACTTTTACATTTCTAACAACAGCCTCTCCATTTTTAAATTTTGGGTACACAACATGAAGTTGTTCAACGCCATCCTTCATTCTGTTCCTCCGATGCAGATTATTATTAAAGTGGATTACAGCAAGTGCATGCCTAAAATATTCCAAAGCAAATTTTGTTATTAAATATATTTAAACTTGCAAGATCACAGCCATAATGTTAATACCTGCAAAACATTCCTTGATAGCTGTATCCAATCATTTTTGGTGAGAACTGGTTGAGCACTGAATGGAATCCCTCTAGAGCACTTGTCTGGCCGAAAGGAGACGCCTGCTTTATACCATTCATCAACTTTGTATTTGTAAGTGCAGCCACCATTTTCTCATATGCAATAGAATCTATAATAGAGATTACAAGAACATCATTCTCACACAATCGAAACTATAATTGAAAATAAATCAGAGGGTCTATCTAGTGTAATAAAGATATAAATACAGTACTTAAAATGTTACTTACCTTCATCCAGCCACTTCCGTGGTTGAATCTCATCTCCATGAGCACACTTATCAAAAACGGGGTTTTTGAGATTTTTGTGCTTGTTGACAACGTGGCTGAAGAACGATGAAAACTTAGCCCAAATAACTTCACCATTTCCATCTTTTGTGGTCATGGCACTCCAAAATAGATGGTTTGCACATGGTTTAATCCACTCATTCAAAATCTCATTTCCACTAACTTTTGCAATTTTTGTCAAAACTTTTGTGATTTCTATAACACAAGAATATACAGAACAAAATACAGGTTGTTTTCTTTCATATTCCCATAATACCCCCACCCCTGAGTCCCTAACAGTTACATATATATTGGTAAATGGTTATTACATATATAATAGGAAAGGGATAGAATAAAAACTTCTATTTCTTATTTCAACAACATACTTTTCTTTAGATGCCAAACATCAAAGTAATGTTTGATGCTGGCCAGCTTTTCCCTCATGTGTTTTGCAATTCCTGAATGTCGGTCGGAAACAAAAGTCTTCACAAGTAAGCCAGTGCCCAGAAGATATTCCATAGCCCGTACAAACCCATGGTACTCCATTGCAGGACTGCTACCCACTTCGTTTCTCTATAAATAATATAATATAATTTTGCCTGTAGAGCTGGTATCAATCTCCTAAAATTTGTACTTTAGTTACATACCTGCACCAGTGTAAAATGAATGATGAATGGAACTGTACAGCAAAATATTGTGTAGGCACAATACTTGGCACTATGACCCATGCTGTCATGCCTTCCATCACCAGATATCATGAGATCATCTTGGTTTTTCAATTTTGAAATTAATCCCTCTTGATACTTTTTCCAATGAAGATATATCACAGGAAATAATTTTTCCTGCAATTATGATTATAAAAGTACAATAAAACACTGGACAACACTCCTGGAATCATGCACCTAACTACTTATTATCAACTTTCAGTATTTAAACTAATTAGACAGGATAAAATCAAATGCACATTGTCAGCTAAATATTATGACTACACTCACATGTTGATGCTTAAAAAAGTTGAAAGTGAGATGCATTTCAATCCCATATGCTGGAATACTCTCAGGACTTTGGTGGCTGATGTGCCAGCTACAAGAATTCCAAATGAAAGTAATAAATTGCCAGCTGGAACCATTGTGCCTGTCATATATGGCTGACTGAACCATTTGCTTGTCTTGCCACACTTCGGGTTAGCACATATGGAGGTCACTTCTGCCATTGTACCATTTTCTCGAACTTCAACAAGAGGATTGTCACATTTGCAGGCATGGCAAAATTTGAAGAGAGCAAGTAACTGTGTAAAAAACACAATAAACTTTGGCTCTTTTCTTAAATTGGAATCATTCAAAAAGATTCTAAAAAATAACAGTTTATTTTAATTATATATTTCAGTCACTTGGGCATTATAGCTGGTGTGTCATATATAAGGAAAAATGTGTTGTCTGGATTGTTTTCTACTCTATTTACTGTATCATGTTTGCATATTACTGTATATTCTATCAGGGTTATGGCCTTACCTTTTATGTTGAGGATTTGCCTCATCCTCTGTCTCAGTTTCAGTTGATTCACTTATTGATTCTTCTTCATCATATGGGTCCTACTAATGAACGCCCGGGAATGCCCGGGAATGCCCGGGGAGATTCGTTGAATGCCCGGGAATGCCCGGGGAGATTCGTTGAATGCCCGGGAATGCCCGGGAATCGGGAAAGAATGCCCGGGGAGAAATACTGGTTAAATAATAATAAAAATATCTTTTTTAATAACAAAAGTTTGAATGTTTCTTATAATATTCGGCATTACTAAACCGCTTGTACCACATGGCCTATTAAACACGCCTATTAAAGACTTTCTACTTATTTTTATTTTCCGAACGAAGTTAATTTAAAATGGGTTTGTTCGGCGGTGATGCTAAGCCAGCGGTCAATTTGACTCACTTTTCGTGTTCATGTTAAAAAGTCATCACAAATGAAGTATGTTTATGACGTTGTTTGTGCATTTGTTTGTTTGCGAATATTGTTGGGGGGTATTTTAGGCTTTAGGCTCTTCCTGTAATAATGTTAATTAATGTAATTAACAGAACAAAGACAGGCAACATTCCTATTACAAAAACAAGATGAGTCATCGACTTGTTTTTAGAGTTGGTATTACCTTTTTATATAATGCGTATATAAGTTACAAGAACTATTCAAACTTTCATTAAAAGACGTTTTTATTATAATATTTTTCACCCAACATTATTACTCAGGCATTCTTTTCCGAGTCCCGGAAAAGTATTTGAATGAGTGAAATCATGGGAGTTATGACGGCCGGAGTATATATATATATATATATATTAGACGAAAAAATTAACAATGTAAAGTTTGAATTTTTTGTTTGAATGAACGTTCACGTATTCGATGAAAAATCAGTTCTTGTTTACGACTAATTATCACAACTTGTTTTGTCACTTTTTATTATGAGTTAATTTGCATTACAAAGTGCACATAACAAGCATTACGTCATAGGTGGTGATTGGGCTGTTTGTATATAAAAATTAGTAGTTTATAGATTGTTTGTGTCATTTTGACAAGTCAAGCCTTGCAGCACTATTCAACTGTTAAAAAGTTCGGGAAATTCATTCGTCAGTCCTGCACGCATGTAAATGGTAGCTTCGATTTCCGCGAGGCCATAAAACGGTTGGAGATTGCCTCGAAACTGGGAATGTTGGAGAGCGCGGTAAAGATGGAGCGCATATTTTTGCGCAATACACCACTTCCGAAAGTAAAGTCTGAGGAGATATTCTTTGGGAAATCTACTCTAGATGTTGTGGCCAGAGATATCTTGAAACGAGTTGGTAAGTTTGCTTTTTTGTTTTTTTCTGCGTGTATATATGTATACAAAAAAAATTCTATATTTATGCATTTTGCTAACACATGTATCCATGAATGGTTTGCAAGTTAAGAAAAAACAGGTGGTTTCAACAGATGGATGCCTGAGTGTTCCAAGAACGCCAACAATTGCAAGGAAACCAGGACAAAAAAAGAGAGTAAAAAGTGTAAGAACAAAGAAAAAATTTGAACGCTAATAATATTTGGGCAATTCAAAATTAAAATGTAAGTTAAGTCCATGTAATATGTGTTATGTGTTCACGAATGCTATCACGAAATAGCTAATGCGCGTTAGTGCTTGATCGTATCCAGTTCAATCATGTTATCTCATTGTTATTACGAAGTACTACATTTATAGAAACAGTAATAAAATATTATCACTTTGCATCCTTAACTTAAAAATTTGTTATAGTTTATCATTTGTGTACCTTGCCTACAATGATTTTCTATATAATATACAATGGTCGTTTATATGATATTGACGCATGATTTTGCCGCCCCCCGGGCATTCTTTCCCGACTCCCGGGCAATGTTTTTTCAAAACGTGAGTGACAACTTATTATGAAAAAGGTATTTTTAATCAAATAATAAACTGTTCATAGTTAGAACTTTAAATTATACCGTGATTTTTCTCCCCGGGCATTCTTTCCCGATTCCCGGGCATTCCCGGGCATTCAACGAATCTCCCCGGGCATTCCCGGGCATTCCCGGGCGTTCATTAGTATGGTGGAGGCATTTCAATATCTGAGCTTAATAGCTCATCAAAATCATCTGATGGAGGTATTCCAATGTCTGAGCTACAATGTGCATCATCACCTGCTGTGGTTGACATGGTACTAGGATGTGCATCTTCTCCTGTGTTTTTTACAATCATAGAAAATTTATTATATTGTTAACTATTGCAGCTGGGACACTGCATGTTACAGTATGTGCAAGTTTATACACAGAGGGCAGAGGCTACAGCATATGTTGATTCTATTGCTCTGAGTAGTAAACTGGTGTGACATAAGACCAAAAGAAATCAATACATATGACTTACCAGAACTTCTTGCAATTTGCCTTCTGCAAACTTCCAGCTTATTTTTTGCAGATAGCCAGTCACTTTTAAGCCTCTTATTTTTTAGCAATAAAGCTTTGCAATTGCTACATTCCCCATGCTATAAAGACAAAAGTACTTATTTGCAATAGACCTTTTGTATGTTTACAACACAAGCATCTGTCATTAGTATATGGCCTTATCAGGGTATGCATGACCACTGACTGTTTCTAAACATCACTCTATGACATATGATACCATCGGTTCCATAGTCCAAAAATCTCACCTCTTTTCGTTTCGTTGAGGTTGAACTTGAAGGTACAGGTTCCTCACCAGTTGAAACTCTTTCCGGAAATGTAATCTATAATTGTAGATAGTGTTTTGTAAATACACCAAACCAATAATACGTATTAAAATCTAAAATACTCACGTTTGTTGACGTAGAAGGCTGAGGATCTTCCACAGTTGGGGGTCCCTCAAGTACTCTCTAAAAATTATTCGAAAGATTTTATATCTTAGCTTTAAATACAACCTATTAAAAGTAATAAAATATATAAGTACAGACCAAAGCTAGTAAAACGCACAATTAAAAATGAAATATAGGTGAGTATACACGAGATATGACACATACCTTCCCTCGGCGTTGTAAGCGCATGGTGCGTTCACTATCAAAAGATGTCGCTTCAGGCAGCAGAGAAGGCACAGCAGTTACTCCAATTTTATCACGCTTAAGCTTCGGGGTCTTGTACTTCTCTACAGTGCTCGAACCGTAATCAAAACACTCTTCCGCGAAGTGTTTAGAGCACACAACTGAGCTAGCACTTGGCAGCCATTTGTCTCTTTTCCGCCGAATAAAGTCCTCCCATTTCTTTCTTCTGGCTCTCGCAATTTGCCTGCTATCGTCCCAATAAGGTATACGGTATAAAGATATACCTTTCTCCGAATTAGCTGTGTTGTTACAACCGTAGACAACACACCGTTCCGGCATTATTTTGAAAAACGCAAAGGATACCACCAGCGAAAATATATGTTTTTATTAGGAAAGACGGCGTGCTTGCAAATTAGGTTCCTGAGTCCCAGTTCCCAGAGCAACACGCCTTTTTTTTAAAAAATGCGAAAAACGCCCTGTTTGAAACCCGATATCTCGGAAACTATTGTTTTATATCAAAAAAGGATTTATACTTTATAAACTAACTTTTTACGCTCTTTCCAAATCCGTAAAGACGCCATGAGTGATATAGGCACTTTAAATTCTGTCAGTTTTCTTGCTCCCACGTCGCCAATGTTAATTTTGGCCAATCGAAATAAACCGTGGTTGCATGTGACATAATTGTGACCATCTTATTGGCGTTCAGCGGATCATTCAACTTCCAGTTTCTTCATGCTAACTTCATGCGCACTCTATTAAGTATTTGCGAATGTAGCTACTCAAATTAAAACTGAGCGTCTGACGCATATTTTATGTAGTTCGATCTAGTTCATAAAACTCAAAATTTAGTAATATAGACGATTATATGTTTCATGCTAAAATGTAGATAGGGAATAGACTCCACGGCTCTTTACGTCCCCCTTAAAGCCGTCGTCTTAGCTATAACCTGCGCCATCTTCATGATTTATAAACTTTTTCCGCTTATAAAGCACTCATTTATACTTGAACAAACGCTTGTAAAGTCTTGCTCGTTATAAGTTCACATATGTCCCATACTGTAGCCGCGGACAATTTTATCCCACCATTTAGCAATTATTCGCCGAATGCGAGGCGATTATTGGGAAATAGTTCATTGAGTCGAAGTCGAGGTGGATATTCCCCGATAATCCCCGAGCTTAAGGCGAATAATTATTTTAGTATTTTTGCACAAGCAAATTGACACAAAAACTGCATTTGTTCGCTTATCTCTTTGTAAGAAACGTCCAGAAAACGGCTAACCGCCATTTTGAAATTTGTTATATTCACCTGAAGGTGAATTATATATTTCAGGTGAATATATAACAGCTTAATACGTCAAATTTGACGAATCAGAATATATTTATTATATGTGTAGCCTATAGAGATTTATGCACAGCGGAATGATGAAATAAAAATCATATTTCATTGTGTAAATTAATTTCATGCAATTTCAAAATATTCTTCACACGTGAAAAATTGTCGTATGTCAATTTGGCGGCAATTCGTTTACATTTTCTTTCAAGATGGCGTCAAAATATAAGAGTGAGATTCAAAACATAATTCTCATATTCAAGATATTTTCACATTCAGCATGCACATTCTCAAATCTTTCAGATAGAATATCTAACTTCCTTTGAACAAAATTGCAAAGAAACTAAACGGTAATAAATATGTTTTGATGCATAAAATTTCGATTTGTGTTGCTCGTTGTGTTTTTGTATTTAAAGCGTGTCGTTGTCAAATACTCAAATTGATCTCTATACACATTTAATAAACAAATTGCTTGATCTATGCATGGTTGGCTCGTTTGTACAATTTTTATTATGAACTCGTTGTGAAGGATCGCAAACTCACTCGTTCGCAACATTCACTCGTTGGTTTTGCGATCCTTCACAACTCGTGCATAAAAATCGTACGCACTCGCCAACCATGACGTAATCTCTATATATTCTATATTTTAGTTTCGTGAACGCGCCACAAATGTATACAAATGGTAGAAGGGAAATTGTGGTTGGTATAAGAGTTTTCGCTTCGTCAATTGTGTCATGCTGCGATGTTTGACTATCTCCTGCTGCCCGAGCACGGTCTTAAATGCATGCACGCCAAATGACCCTGCTATTCGTACCATCCGTACCATTCGTACGAGTGGAAAAAATATCTTATTTAGTATTCGTATCCACTCGAATATGACACCCTGCAAGCCTACTGTATAGGGATAGACTAAACGTGCGAAAAATCTAAAAACAAACGATGTTCATCGAGTGAAGTGCAGTTCAGCTGTGACGCGAGGTTTTGCGTCTATTCTTTTCTTCGCACTGCTTGATTAGACTGGAACACGAAAAAACAGCAATGAGGTTTTTATCTTCAATTTCAAGTTTCTTTAACGTTAAATGTCGGCTAATTACGCGCGGTTCAATGCAAATGATACGTAGGTTAGCATCTGACATGTCTACGCTATCAAACGACAACGAAACATTGCCATTCTCTGCAATACCTGGCCCAAAAGGAACGATTTCAAATATCCTGGGTTATACGTTTGGTAAGGGAACGCATTACGAAAAAGTAACGAAACGTTTCAAAAAGTTCGGCCCGATATATCGAGAGAAAATACTGGACATGGACATTGTGAACTTTTACGACGTAAATTCCTTGGCTGCGGTTTTAAAGATCAAAGCAAATTTCCCAATGAGAGCTGGCTTAGAGTCAACTATGACGGTGTTTGGCAGAAATGTGACTGAGATCCTATCTTGTGATTATGACGAGTGGTATGCGGACCGATCATTGCTATCGCCGATGTTTTTACGACCCAAAGAGATCAATGAGAGAATATCCATGATCAATGCTGTGGCCAACGACTTCGTTGAGCGATTACACCATCTTAGAGATCAAGATGGAACAATACCCAACATTGAAAGGGAACTTTGAGAAAACACCAGATGCAGATGTTCTCGTGTTTTTTGAGACAGCCTGCAAAATGAAAGATAACGTTGGATTTCTCATTGATATGGGTCCATTTCACAAGTATATACCGACACCAGCGTATTATGCAGCAAAGAGGAATATGAATACAATGCATGAGTCCTACATGCAAGATAATATTTAATATGTGCAAAAGTAATCCCCGAGGGCGAGGGTACTAATTCCGCTCGGAGATTAGGAATTACAACCTGCATGGTATTGTGACAGAACATAACGGGACCTAAAACTGTCCAAATTCTATGTCATGATCGTTGGATAGTTTTGTTAGTCACACGGAAGCGTGAAATTCGTTTTTTAAGTTTTAAAACCAGTGCGTGTCTATATTCTGTTTTTTTATTCCTGCAATGGTTTTGTGTATAAAGAACGCTGTTTTTGCATGTGAGCTTGATAAGTCGTCTAACAAAGACATAACCGATTATGAAATGCTTTTGCAACATCGCTTAACTTTAAAAATGGCGTAAATTTAAATTTTAGTATAAACATTCGCATCAAAATCATGTCGACGGCATAAATATTCTGTACTTGAAGATTTTGCTGATATAGGGTCTTTAAAACGTCAGCAGAAAATGAGTGACGCTTTTTTCAAAGTGTTTATTATAGTTATTTCCCAGCGACGCCACTGCGTATATATTGTCTGAAAAGCCGTTATTACATCTTGGAGCCTCACATTTTACTGCGCTCATGGGCATTTGATGTTGTCTATAATGCGCAATTGTGACGTAAATATTTTAGAATGAATTTAGAATTTTTTAACCCTAAAAATGTAAAGAATGGGCTGATTATTTTAAAATCTGCGACACGTATGATGCTGGCAAGTGTTATATAAAATATGAAGCTAAACAATTCTTCAAAGATAAAGTCCACGTGCTCTGCTCTCCAGTTTATGAGGTCTCGTGCATACATACAGAATTATTCTTTTTTAACTTGTTTTATTTCACATGTTTAGGCAGACCTATAAATTAGGTAGTGCTGTGAATGACCTTTCTACCGAATAAAACCCTAATAAATATGAACTCAAAGTCTTGAAAACCCGTTTAATAGTTATATATATTCTTCTATGATTTATATAGAATGGCGCAAACGTCTGTAAAGCTCAATACCTAGATCGTTTATACATATCTGTTGACGATTGAAAATGTTTGTTCTGATACAATTGCGATAAATAAATTTAAAGAATTCTTAATATATTTTAGAGTAAAGGACTAAAACGTGTAACATAGTTAGATAATATGGACGGGAAAATATAAATAGCATATTGTTATTGCACGGATTATTTTCTTTGAAACCCATTATTAACACCTTCCCTCTATTCGGCAGAAAAAGCTACCACATAAAATACAAACAACACACGCCACGTTTCCTTTTGATATTCGACATTTTTACCGGTGTATTCTTTTAAAATTTCTGACTTCTGTCATTGGGAATTTCATCGGTATATTTGACCATGGTCGAGTATTCCGTTTCTCAGAAAATTCGACCATGGTGGAGTATACCGTTTTCTTTTTTATTGTTATTATGAATACTTATTTTTAAACAATAGCCCTTCCGCTTAATGGCTGCTTATACAGGGATTGTTTTATAAAATTCAAAAAGATTACGAAGTTCAGTGGGTCCTTTGCCAAACTTTCAACAACAAGTAGAATTTTACGAAATTTTAAGAGATTATGAATTGGAATCCATCTTATATATATTACGAAAATTAACAACACAGGACGTGGACACACTTTCATTTACTATACATAGACGCACTGTCGTCGAGTATTAAAGGTATACTAAGTGGTTTTCGGTGCAGTATTGCGTGATACTCCATGCGGAAAATTGGGAGACTTTCGGAAAGCGTGAAAAAGCACTCGGCTTTATAGCTACGGCTCGTGCTTTTTCACGCTTTCCGAAAGTCGAGCAATTTCCCGAGTGCAGTATCACGCAATCCTGCACAGAAAACCATTTAGTATTTTCTTTATAAACTATAACTACAATGAGACAACGGTCAAATTTCCCGCCCAAAGCGGCATTGTAAACTTTCCGTGCAGGCTTGTCTCATACTGCACGCCTACGAACCAATCAAATTGCGTGTTTCACTGTAGTTATTATATAAACCGTCTTAGCGTCGTTTCCATGTTGCGAGAAACGGCGGTTTCAAAGTATCGTAATTGGTCTGTACAGGAAACTTAAGAACGTTAACATTCCTTCGCTGAAAAGGGACTTACTTTCATCAAGGCTTCTTTCCCAAGCTGATCCAAATGTAAATAAATTTGCCAAAAGGTTTAATTACAACTCTATTAATAAAGTTTACTGGATGTGCATGCTCCACTTCTAAAGAAGAATATTACGATAAGGCCACATGTTCCATTTGGTTTTCCAATGCAATCAAGATGGTAAAAAGCCGTAGGAGGAAAGCAGAAAAATTATTTAAGAAAACAACGAAAGAATCTGGGGCCGGTTGTATAAAAACGTAGTTAGCGCTAACTGCAGTTAAAAAGAAATTAAAAAAGTAGTTAAGAGG